CATCATCATCATCATCATCATCATCACCATCTTCCTCTTCCTCGTGAAGAGGTGGAGGTAAACGACCAATAGCTTGCTCCATACGATCAACAGGTTCTTCTGCCATGGTAGGGGGTAAAGGAGGGCCAATCAACTCATCATCAGAGGAATCAGAACTCTCTTCACTTCCACTACTGCTTGTATCACTGGAAGATGATTTAGAGCAATCTCTGACCACATCTGAGCCTGAAGATGTAGGTTCAATATCTTCATTTTGCCTCCTTAATTCTTTCTCTCTGTTCATTTCTTCCTCTTTTTCTCTTGCCTCCAGTGTTTTCCGACTTCTTTCCATAGCTGTTCTTCGAGTCTGTTCAAACATTGCTTCCAAATCAAATGTACGAGCTTTTTTCCCGAACCCCGTGAAGCCCATGGTGACCGCCAGCTTCAGGTCTGGTCCCAATTCCACATCTTCACTAATACGGTTCTGCAAACGCCGTAGTCGGGGGTCCCGAAGTGAATCCTCCTCCTGTTCCTCAGGCTCTGCTTCTGAGGCTTTGTCTTTCTTAATGAACTGAAATTCTTCATCCTCCTCATCTGAGGACTCCATAGGGGCAAAGTCTGGCCTCTTTCCCGACACATAACGTTTCACTTTCTCCATTGAAATCTCACCTTGCTCATTGCTGACTGGGACGGCCCCGGCCGTGGACTGAATGGGCGGCTGTTTCATGAGTGAGCTGGGGGCCGACATGTTCATGGCAGCGGCAGGACTCCGGGCACTTCCCTGATTCCAAGTAGTAAACAGCTATCAACGGTAGAGCATGAGCTTAATCTCACTCTTAATCTCAGGGTCGTGGGTTTGTGCCCCACATTGGGCGCCAATTGTTGGGGTCCAACCCCAGCAGGTCCAGGGGTTCCCAAAGGTGTGGACAGAGTCGGCGAAGAAGGAATGACACGGAGACAGTGTTCAGTTGATCAGCAGTCTAGCCAGTTCTAGCCAGGATCTCCAGCCAGGTTCTGTGTTTATTTCTCCTGCTACATCTGTATTTATACCAGTTGATCTTAATCCTATCCATTCTTTTCCAAAGGTTAGGGCATTTGTTATCTCCATTCCAGGGAGTAAAGATTATGTAGCTTAAGCGTGATTGTTCGTAGTTAAAGTGATTGACTACCCGCCTGGCACTTAGTTAAGGGGTTTTACTGATAAAAATCCCCACCTGGGGAAACAACCTTTCTCAGAGAGGTGACCTTGGTTAAAACACATAGCACTAAGAAGGGGAGCAAACAGATTAAGAACAGTATGCCATATATGCCAGGTCCCTTGAATCATAAGCTGTGCAGATGTTTCTTCCCCGCAGCGACTGTGACAAGCAGCAAGGGTGGTACGGCTTCCGGCACATATCCAGACTATTGTAAATCTATTTAAATGATGTTTCTGAAGCATTTAGTGTATCTAGAGTATTTCCCTTGAAAAATATTTATGCTAAGTACTGTTAAGAGGGTAAAAATTCTGATTAAAAGCAATGTCTAAAATATTAATAATGTTATTGCTTGGGGTCAAAAGGTACAAACTTATTAAAGTTAATGAAGGGGGTCAGTTTGTTGTCAGTTTGATTCAAATAAACTCTTATGGAAAATTCTCAAAAAATAAAGAAACAGAAATACCTGTGTGTCTGGGAGCTGCCAAGGGGGCTGGGGCCTGGTGCGGGCAGCCAGCAGGGCTTTCCAGGTTGTTTATGTTCTCCTTGAAAACAAGAAATTCATGTTAGATGGGTCATTTTCTTTCAGGTGTAAGCAAAGCACCCTCTAATTTGCTGAATCTTCAAAAAGTACTATAACTTTGGGAGGGAGGAATCCCTCCATTACTATGACAAAGCCCATGTTTCTAGTAAAGCAAAGGAAACACCCAGAATATTAATAGAGTTCATCTCTAGGCAGTGGAAGTACAGGATATTCTTTCCCTGCCCCCCCCCCCGTTTTTCTGTATTTGATAGATTTGTAGTAAAAAGAAAGTATTATTCTTTTAATGAAAAGCTTTAACTAATCTGTATCATGAGCTCACAAAAGTCTCCAATCTACAGATTTAATAAAATAACACAAAATTAATTAAAGCATTAGGCTTCTTTGATTATACTAAGTCCAAAAATAAAAAGAAATGTTGTTACATGGTTATGGGTCACTTTAATTTGCTAAGTTTTTTTTTATAATGAGCATATTTTTTATAATTAGAAAAAAATACATTCTTTTAAAAGGGTAGTAACATTCATTGGGTGACTATAAACACATATGTGCCCCTTGGATGTTTCATTCACTTCATCAAAAACATAGCCTAAGCTAGTTTTGGCTGCTTTAAGAAAGAATATGATGATGTTGTTAAGTATATGGACAGTATGAAACGTTAATACAAAATTTGAAAAGAAAATGTTCTATTCATTTTAGAGGCTTAAAAAATTAGGGATCACATATCTTTAAATGTAGGTGTGTTAGAATAATTGCTTGACTTTGTATCTTGGAGCTGTGAGTTGCTTCTGTACACCAAGTAAAACATTAACTTTCTGATTTTTTTTTTTTTTTGCAACAACAAGATTACCAGCGTTTGTGAGAGCCTGCAGAGACAGCCTGCAAGGAAAATGAAGCTCCCTATTTTCATAGCAGATGCATTCACAGCAAAAGCATTTCGTGGAAATCCTGCTGCTGTTTGTCTCCTAGAAAATGTGAGTATTAGTTTGGAAATGCAGTGCTTGGAATTCTAGATTCCCTGAGAACTAAATAGGTCTTTAAAAAAAAATCAGACCAGCTGTTTACCTCTTTGTGTTTTTTTGTCAAATGATACTAGCCACGTTCATGTCTGCAAATTGATTTAGGCGAGAAAGCTTACACCTACAAGTTTAATTCTAGAGAAATGAAGATTCACGTAGGGAAGGACTAGAGCTCCCTTTTAGCCCTCAGGTTTTCATTTAGTTAGCACCAAATGTGGAGGAGAATAAAATTAGATGAGTTTTATGTGACTAGACATGGCTGATATTACATTTAGCATGAAAGATCCAAACTGCATATTTCTAATCTTACCTATAGTCCATGTAATTAGAGATTTTTTTCAGGATGAAGAAATGAGATGTTTGTAAGGAATAAAGTAGAAAGATAGAAGGAATTAAGCTCTAATATAGGGAGAACTTAGTTTACTGAAAGTCTCATTTTAAAAATGGCTTTTTGATTAGGTTAAGTTATTAACAGGTTAATTAAATATTCCCTGACCTTAAGTGCTTTGTGTTGGTCCCTGGGTATTATTAGGAAGCAAGCCAAAATACCCTTCCACTCAGAGCAGTTAGTGGCAGAGTATGTATACGTGAGAATTTTCAGAAACCCAGCAAGCAATTCATGATGTTAAGTAAGTTACTAAGTTGGGCAAAGTGCGTGCTGGGGCATTTGTGTGCAGTGAATCCCAACCTGGCCTGCACACCAGAATCACAGAGGAGCTTTAACATTTCTGTGCTCAGGCCTCAGACCAAGCCAGTGACAGCAGAGTCTCTGGGGTGCGACCCAGGCTGCCCTGTTGGTCCATCTCCGTGTGTGATTCCAGGGTGCAGTCACGGTGGAGAGAGGCCCAGGTTGTCCTGAGATAGGCGAATACTGTAAATTGAGTCCTTGGTGCACTTATTTTCTTTCTCAAGGGGAGCAGCAAAATGGTGATCAAGAGTTCAAGAGTCCTCCACTCACTTTAACAATGCATTCACTATGCAACCTTGCAGTTGGCACTAGCCAACCACACACTGCTGAAAGAAAGTAATAAAGTTAACGGGCTTTATCGAGTAACACAATAGTTCGCGAGGATTAGCAAGAGAGTAATTAACAACCAGATTCTAAGTCATGAACTTTCTTTAGAAATAATCTGGCAGCCCAGCTGGTGTGGCTCAGTGGTTGAGCATTGACCTATGAACCAGGAGGTCGTGGTTTGATTCCCAGTGAGGGCACATGCCTCTGTTGCAGGCTCACTCCCCAAAAACGACAACCGCGCTCTCAGCCACCAGCCCGCTTTGCGCGCGCACCTCCGCACCTGAGTTTTTTCCACACTGCGCCTCCTCTGAGCCTCGGTGTGCTGTTATTTTTCCTTCTAGTTGAAGAGTCTCTCCTCAGCCAGCCTTCCTGTGGTTCTGGGTGATGTCCGTTCCGTCTTTTAGTTGTATTTTTGAAGTGGTTGTTTGCGGCAGCAGTCTGCGGTGTTTACCTATGCCGCCATCTTGGTCTCTCCCCTCATCATTGATGTTTCTATCTCTCTCTCCCTCTTCCTTCCTCTCTGAAATCAACAAATATATATATATTTTTTAAAAAAGAAACAATCTTTAAATACAACTCCACCTTGAGGAATTATGAAATTGACTAAAGCTGCTTGTCTAGAATCTCAGTATATTTGCCCATGTTTCCATACGTAACATCCTTGAAGAGTTTTGAAAATAGTTTTAAGTGATTTATATACTAGATGACAAGGATCAGCATTATTCCTCATTCTTTTATCTCGTGTACTCATTAAGCAACAGGCTCAAGGATCTCTCTCTCTCTCTACCTACCTACCTAACTCTATCTCTCTATTTACTTCTCCATTAAAATATATTTTACATGTTATTTATGTATTTGGAAAAACTAGGCAATAAAATTTTAACAAAGAACTTAACATAATTCAAAGCAAAATGCTTCAGTTCAAATGAAAGAAAGAAAAAGATGAGGAAGTCCATGGCTCGGGGACACTCTCTTGTCTCCCAATTCACTTCTGGGCCTTGGACCTGTGAGACTAGGCTAATTTGATGGCCTGTCAGAGACAACTGAATAGATACCTGAAGACTAGTTTGCTAGCTTTTCTATTCTGTGGACAATAGAGTCCTGTTCTCCTGGATGCTAATTTAACACTTTCCCCAATTCATAATCAATACAAATTATAAAGAAAGTGTAAACTATGTTTTCTGCCCTTGGATTCCTTACCTGTGGCCGGAGACAGAGATCACCTGAAACACAAGTGAACTCAGGAAAATATCAGCGACAAACAGGGCTAAACCTTATAATGCTGACCACAATTCCGGTGTTTAGCCTGTCATCGACATATTCTACAAATATTTATCAACACCTGCCAGGAGCCAGGCTCTGGGCTAGGGCTGGGAGGTACAAAGATTAGTCAATTTGTCTGCCCTTGATGTGCTCAAAGTCTAATGTAAGCCTCATCATTATTCAGAGGCTAAGGGACCCGAAGGTGCCAGGTGCAAAGGGAACTCAGAGAACAATGCTGGATTTTATGGAGGAGGACATACTTCAGATTTTAAGTGCAGATATTCTTTTTTGTTTTGTTTAAAATTATTTAAAATTTGACCAAGATGAGACTAACCATAGAGAAACTTGATGGACAGTCTAAGACTAGGTAATTGCTTTTTGAATACTTGTTAACAGACTTCTGGAAGCAAATGGAGTCCCAAGAGCTTTTATAATTTTCTAAAGTTTTGTTTTGTTTTCCTTTAAGGACAAGTCCATTTTTTAAAAAAATATATTTTATTGATTTTTTACAGATAGGAAGGGAGAGAGATAGAGAGTTAGAAACATCGATGAGAGAGAAACATCGACCAGCCGCCTCCTGCACATCTCCTACTGGGGATGTGCCCGCAACCCAGGTACATGCCCTTGACCGGAATCGAACCTGGGACCTTTCAGTCCACAGGCCGACGCTCTGAGCCAAACCGGTTTCGGCAGGACAAGTCCATTTTTAATGTTCTCACACGAGGAACTTATAACACTGTACATTAGGTGGGGAAAAAAAACCAAATTAAGGGATAAATGGAACATATTTGAGTAAAATATTTAAAATCTTAAAAAACTGTGATAATCAGTTTGGCAATAAAGACCATATAGACACATGGAAAATGTATCAAAACAATATTTTAAAAATGAAATAGATACATTATGGTGTCAGCTGAGTAAAAAACTACAAAACTCATGACCAACTACTGGATAGGTCAGAGGACTGTGATAGTGCTCAGGGGTGATATTTTGTTTATTTTCCGGTAAACCAGCCTTCATAGTTAGTGAAAATAATAGATCAACAGGGTAAGGTATCCCATATTTATTCTTCTTCATATTCTAACAAAGCCATATATATATATATAGTGTGTGTGTGTGTGTGTGTGTGTGTGTAGCACAAGGTTTCTTAACTGCAGCACTACTGACATTTTGGACTGGGTAGTTCTTTGATGTATGAGACTGTCATGTACATCGTAAAATGTTTACTAATATCCTGTCCTCTACCCACTAGATGACAGTAGTCCCCCCTTTTCTCTCAGTCATGGCAATCAAAAATTGCCCCCAGCTGTTTTCCCCCCTCTGTTTCTCTCCATTCTTTTCTTAAAAAAAAACAACACCCCAAAAACCCTGGCTGGTGTGGCTCAGTTGGTTGGAGTGTCCTCCCGTGCACCAAAAGGTGGTGGGTTCAATTTCTGGTCAGGCTACAAGCCCAAGTTTCAGATTTGATTCCCAGTCAGAGCATATTTGGGAGGTGACTGATCGATGTTTATCTCTTTCCCTAAAAAAAAAATAAATAAATAAAAAAGGAAAAAAATGGCCCTGAGGTTGGGATCCATTGCTTTGAGGCTACCTTTTTAAAAAGAAGTTTATATGAGTTTTTCTGTTAAAATTATTCATAGAAAACCTTTGTTGTGTGCCCAATATATACATTTATTCCAATTTAACCGACATTTACTGGTTTTTAGTTATTATTCTTTTCATCACCAGTAATCATTGCCAGCGACAGCAAGGAGGATGGGTTTCACACTTAAAAAAAAAAAAAGGCTGGTTTTAAAAATTGATTTCAGAGAGGAAGGGAAAGGGAGAGAGATATAGAAACATCAATGATGAGAGAGAATCATTGATCAGCTGCCTCCTGCATGCCCCTCACTGGGATTGAGTCCGAAACCTGGGCATGTGCCCTGACCAGGAATTGAACTGTGAACTGGTTCATGGGTCAACATTCAATCACTGAGCCACACCCGCTGGGCTGGCTTCACGCTTTTAAGGAGGAATGCTTAGTTTTAGTTCCTGAACTATTTATCATTCCAGTTTTCCTTATTAAATTTAGAGAACACCCAAAACCCCTTTACAGCTTAGTGAGTTATGCATTTAAGGAAAACAAAACAGGTGTACAGCAAAACCCAGGCTTTAACTCATGTCAGAAGGCTTGTCACTGCCCGTTTCCCAACTCTGTGCCCTTCCTTAGAGAGAGGCTCACCCGTCAGAGGCTCCTGGGGTTTCTAGGGAGTTTCAACCTCATATCTATTTTTATGCCCAGAAAAGAGATTGAGGAGTGCAGAGGAGATTCTTCTAGGGCACTGAAGGGTTTTCCTTTGCCCAGTGATGGAGGGGAGAGCAATGCAAAGGAGGAGATGTTAATGTAGAATTTCTGCTTCCCAAGTATCCTCACTGGCTTCCAGAACATAACCCTCAGCTCTAGGAACAGTGACTTCAGACACATTCAGCCCAATACTGTGCTAGTTGCTTTTCACATGTTATCTCATTTCATCCTCACAACCACTCTGTGAGTAGGTCTTATTATCATCATCCCCATTTTACAGATGCGGACCCAGAGGCAGAGGAAGGGGAAGTACTTTGCCAGAGGTCACACACTCCTCAGTGGCTGACTGCCTGGCTGCGGGGCCTGTGCTTTTAACCACTGTGCTCACTACCA